CGTACGTAGTACGACGTAGAGAGAGAGAGAGAGAGAGAGAGAGAGAGAGAGAGAGAGAGAGAGAGAGAGAGAGAGAAAGAGAGAGAGAACAAAATTTTCTACACGCGCAAGGCGAGAGCGATGTGCGACATTCTTCAGCGTAAAAAAAAGTAATAAAGAAGCGTAAAAAAGACGTCGCGCTTTTGTTAACTGTACACTTGCGCGAGATTGGACGAACTTTTCTAACGTGTTAAGTTACAAGTATTGTGCTGAATTTGCAAAGATGGTTTGAAAAAGGCCCACTTCGGCGCGTGCCACTGACCCACGTCGCGACAAACCTCAAACGGATCACACGTTTTATACCACGTAGACCTAAATAAACAACACCGCCATATCTCTCTTCTCTATAATTACTCTAGATACAATTTGTACTCCGCGACCACACACGTTGTATCGTTTCTATATACGATTTCGGAATCTTCGTAATCTTAAACGGAGGCGTCTTTCTGTCGGTCGCTTGCCGATTAGCGGAACGAGCATGTGACGACCAAGAGTGCTTGTTATACTAACACGATGAGCACAATAAACACACACGCAGAAAACTTTTGATCTATCTTTACCCATTTTTCTCTCTCTCACACAACACGTCACACTCTCTTTCCTCCGGTGCGACGACATCGGAGGGGGAAGCGTTCCAAAGACTGAGGGGCGGCGCCGATCCAAGATATCCCGGGAGGAAGAGACCCAAGTGTTCGCGCACTGGTTACAAGACGCACCAAAAGGAAAGAAGCGGGGAAGCACGAAAGCCGCTGCATGGCGGCGCAATTGGACGGAGCACGGACTGTGACGCTAAACGAGAACTTCCTCGGGGATTAAGAGACCGGCAGAATTTTGGCACGAGTCTAATTTTCCATGTTGTGAAGTAGATGTGACTGTAGATAGATATATGAAGAGGTCTAAATCCTAGCCGATCATCGCGAGTCGATTGTCGTAGAGTTGTAAATCATATCGCGGGGTGCCTGGCGCACTGAAATCCGAATCTATCAAAATTATACCGGTCTTTGGGTCCCCGAAGAGCAAAAAAAAAACGAAATGTTGAGCACCAACGTACAGCACCACCGGTTTACTAAAATAGTAATCTCGAATCTGTACACTTGATATAACACACAATAACACGTTGCATAGCGTTGCTTAGAGCGTAAATTAGGATCTAGGCGTATAATCATGTGATATTAAGTAAAAAAAAAAGAAAAAAAAGAGTTGCGCTCTTAGATTAACCGAGTCGCTTTGGTGGTATCACACGATTACACACGCGACGTCGTATACACATACACACGCATACAACTCACCTCGAGATAGAGGTCTTTCCTCTTCCGCTTCCTCGATCGCGAAGCGTGCGTGCGACAGCGGGAGTGTTTTGCTCGAGGAAGCAGTTTCCGGATCGGATTTGAAAACGCGATCAATATTACGCGAAAAGTGAGAAAGAGCGAAGTATGTACATCCGACAACAGGTAAATAATAACGATAAGCCGAACGAGAGAAGCTTGAAAGAGAAAAAAAAGTACTCATGACCCTCGCCTTAATGTGAAAAATCAAGATGTCAATGTGCATTGTAACGAAAATAAAAAAATCAAGTATGTCTGGGAAATGAACTTTTCGTTCTTTATCTATCTGCGTTTTGTTCCGTCGTTCGCACTTGTGTATGTTTCGTTCAATTCTTTCGTTGTATTCGCAGCCGAGACACAGACATAAATTGTAACGATGTATGTGCGAAATATCTTTCCGGTTGATGCTTTCGGAACGAATTCGATAAGTCTTATAAGTCTTAGCATGGTGAACTCTTCGCAAGCCAAAAGTGATAAAGATATTCATAAGTTTCAATTAGACGCGCTTAGATACCGAATAATGTTTGCTAATTAAATAGCTGTATCTGTGTGTAAGATAGTGCGCCATTATTTTCGCACACACGCATCGATATTGCCAAATATGTTGTTGCGAGTTGCGAGTGCTACGTCTCGCCATCATCCGAGTGAGATTTGCTTTTTCTCTTCCACTTGCAAGAAGCAAGTCTTCTATATCGAATTTAGAGATACACGACAGATACGGAGTTATCTGGAGAAACATGCGGTACTGCCTCTGTAGAAGTAAAACGAATTCAGTGGCGGATTAATCATAACACGCAACAAATATTTATGATCTTACATAAGATTTCTCGAAATGAATTCGTTGAACAATTAACGGATGAATACTCGTGATAATTAATTTCGAACGAAAAACATATGACTTTCAGCTGTGGTCTTTTTTAAATAACATAATTTAATGTTACATTAAGATATATTAGGGTTTCCGAAATGAGATGTAGCGCTTAGAATCTCGAGATATCTCGATCTGCCACTGAACGTATAAAATGGGATTGAAAAGAATATCCCGAAATCTCTTGTAGTGAACTATTTCGCACTTTCCACTGCGCTGCAGGTGCATGTGCATTACGCTCAGCGCATATTTCTAGCGAAATTTCTTCGAGAAATTGTTAAAAAAAAAACAAAAAACTATCACATTGTGCAATTTTGTGCATATTTTTCGATAGCGAAAGATATTGTAACAACTATTTTTTAGTGTGACAAATTTATGTCTGAGGGGAATGTCGTGCACTATGCATGTCCTATTCGTGGATGCGACGCAATGAATTATCGTTAACAAATACTTTAGAGTTGAAGTGAAACCAAATGAATAATTGCCATGCGTTCTAATAATATAGAACATTTGTGCTTCTGTGTACAAACTGCAGAATGATGACGCGGCTGTATTAGCCTGAAGATACATAGAGATATATAGGGTGTTCTGTTTCATTCGCCATCGAATCAATTTTTAACAATTGTCTGACGATATAAAAATCGACCCCTTACTTAATAAAGATTTAGTGGGAGGCTTTATCATGGAAATATTCAATATTGTATGCTAGAAGACTTAAGGATCAAGTATCATGTATATAAAAGAGATGATAAAACATTATTCTTTCAACTTTACCAAGTAATTTTAGCCTGGAGTTAAGTAGGGATGCTTAGCGTCAAAGATGTAAGCTAACAACAGTCTATGAAGTTTCCATGAGAAAAAAAAATGCTATTATTTAGTCCGCGTCTTTTAGCTGCACTTCCCGTGGCGCATCTTGTATTTAAGATAAAATAAAAAAAATCTATATTCAAATATTAAATATAAAAAAAGAAAAAAAAAAAAGATTGTATCAGTCGGAGTTTTGCGGTAATGACGGAGCACCCCGTATATATTCTAAAACAAACCGATTGTGAGTATATGTAGCTTACCGTGTAAACGACATCCGTAGACGATACAGTAGTGAGGGTTCCACGCTAAAAATCGTACGCTCGGTATCGCATGATATATATACCTTACACATACACACGTAGACGATATTAGCGGTCGTTAGCGAGAGTTAAATGTAAAGTCAAAAAAAAAAAGGGGGGAAAAATTCGCAGAGAAAAAGGAGGGACGGCAAGCAGCACACAACAAGGAGACACATACCTTTGGTATACACATTGTCAATTAGATTCAGACTGACTGCAGGGACTTGAACATGCATAAACAGTTCGATGTTCTTCGATGTTTAGCTAGATAAAGTTGTCCTCGTCGTCCTCGTTAATGAGCACATCATTGAGACTACGAGTCGACGTATTTAATTCGGGCCAGTGGCGTTAACGTGAAGTGATCAACCGGCTAATGGGACCCATTTGACATTATGAAATATTCTAATACATAAAAGAATATATATATATATATATATATACATACATACATATATATATATATATATATATATATATATATATATATATATATATATAATATTATCAGAGTAGAACAGAGAAGAGTTCGTTTGAGGTAAGCCGATGTTGGTTTTAACACAGGAGTCAGCGCACAAGCCACTTCGGTCTCACTGCGGAACCACGTAATTAACACTTGTGTACGCTACGTTATTGGTGTGCGTCCATTCTACAATTACGCAGCTATCTGTAAGCGAAAATCCATGTTTCTCATTGAGGGATTCTGAATGTTTTCAACCGATGCTTTGGGGAAATTCTATTGCGTTTGCTTTGCGCTGTCGTGTGAGCAGCTACCGTAAAAATTACTCGAAGTTAATTGATGCTTAACGGACTCGCTGTCCCTTTCTTTTTTTTTCCCGTCTCTGTCCTTAGGAAGAGGTGGAGCATCAGTTCGAACATTAACTTAACTTTGACTAATGTTTAGGGAAACACTCCCTTGTTGCATAAATGTTTGATCGGCTGTTAATGTAAACAGACATCCGTAGAATTGTTCTTATATGATCAAGAAGCTATTTGGTTCAAATACGAAAATCCGAATAATTGATGTGATGTTCGTAGCGGTTTCTGTGTTGAAGTTAACGAGTTCTAGTGACAAACTAGCTAGCGCAACGAAATTCTGTTGTAATCAGATATAGACAGAGCAAAGTTTTATTGAACTCAATGGCAATGTTCCAAATATGCGAGCATTTCGATGTAAGGAAATTTCCAGTACAACAATATCAACTCAGAGATTCGACGCGGTGCGTTGTAATGAGATCTCACTGTATGTTATGAAAGAGCGACACGTGCTCGGCGGCTAGAAGCTATTAAATATAAATCCCGTTTGTGAAATGGAGGGAACTTGAGGATTGCTGTAAATCTATGCGATATATCCGCTGAAAAAGAAAACAATTGCGTCAATGTATATACATAATTCAATCAAGTATCATGTCTAGTGTAGAGAGGTAATCGCTGGATAATCGCGTTAACAATAGCTATTCAACTGATAATTTCTATCAGGTTGTGAAAAGAAAGAGTCGAGACATTTCTTTCGCCTGCCAATTGCTCCAGCAGAATATCTTGCGAAAAACACGTGTTGAAAAATTATTTATTATAAAAGTTGAGAAAGCGGATATCTGGCACAAAGCAGTCTTGTTCTTTCATATATTTGATTTGATCGCAGAAACAATAGTGAACTTTTCTTTATGTCTCTGGCGCCGAGAAAGTTCGCATAGAATCAGATACAGGATATAGATATTTATGATATAAAAAGAAATAAAAAACAAGAAACAAATGCAAAATATGTATAACATTACATTTCTGCGATTGCGTTTATCTCTTTTTCATTCCTTGCTACCAGTATCTGATAGGCTCCCCTTCATTATTTTTAAAAATGTAGACATTCTCTTTTAGAGATGATTTATACTATTCCTAATATAATATCACTGATCCCAATATTCCTAATAAATTCAATATTTTAGTTGAATAAAATTTTCCAGAATTAAAATGATATATGTATATAGAAAAGCGGGTATTGAATTTATGTGCAGGATACATAAAAATTTTCTATATCAATCGATATTTTATTAATATATTTTGCTTTTATACATGTTTTATTATTAGCATATAACATATTAATGTAAATAATATCAAATAATCTTATTTAAATGATTAAGAAAGATGTCGTTATTTTAAAGTTAATGTTACATTTTTTATTTATAAATTGCGCAACCTCTCTAATTAAAGCATTTTAGATATACATATAATTTAACAGAATTGAAATAATCCATTCGATTATAAACTAATTTAAACTAAAGCAACAGCAACAATAGCGATAAAAAGTAAAACTATCACCACCCAATAAGCACATGTACGATCTTTGGAATGTATATTACGGACTTGTTGAGTTTTGTTGATCAAAGATTCATCAGTTCTGTCCATATGATCAGCCAAATCATCAATTATTTCTATTGCAATGGAAAGATATTTATTTTCATAGAAAGACGTATCATACAAGATTTTTTTATTGCTTACCATTTTGGTGATTCACTTCACTGCTAATAGTTTGCCCAATTTCTTTTTGGCGAGCTATCACTTTACATAGTTCATCTAAACCTTTGTCTTGTTCTATAAAGGATCAAAACCATATGAATTACATAGAATATGGTCATAAAATTTTCTTCAAAAATAATCATTAATAATTTACCCTTTAATACACGTTCTTGATGACTCATAAGATCAGTAACAGACACTTGTACATCCAACGGTCTCTCGTCATCATCGTCAGCAGCCCAAGAAGTTGTACCACCATCGGCAAAAACTGATGAGCTTGCTCTTAATAGATTAGCACGCGATGATGCATAATCAGTTGTACGTGGATCATACAATTTTTGTAACTGAATATCCTTACTTTGCAACTGTTCCACTTGCCTTGTTCTTCGCTCAGCTTCTTCAAACGTTCTATCGTATGATTAACATTTTAAGGAGTTTATCATTTCACAATTCTTATTTCAAAGTAGTTTAAAGTGTGAAATTCTGAGAAAGAATCAATGTGTACGGATATAAAAGGATACATTGTTCTTGATTTAGAAGCTTCATCCACTTTGCTCTTTAATTGTTGGACTTCTCTTGTATACTGCTTCATACGTAACCTTATATTGGCTGATAAGCTAGCATAAGTTTTCGATGTCTTTAGTTCTCCATCGCGCATAGTGAGTTGTTCCATAATTTCACGGAACAATTTCTCACATGCATCATATTCCATGAGCCTAATAACAATATTAATATTGTCAGTTTTAATTAGAATTTTAAAATGTGCATAATTTGAAATTAAAATAATTATTTAAGTAATTTATAAATTTACCAAGGATCGATGCCTTCAATGTTGACGAGTGCCATTTTTGTGTCTGTTTATATAAATATATGTATTTTATCACACAAAGGAATATAATATCATAACAAATATTTTATACGTCATCACACGTTACAGAAAACATCTTCTTAATAACAGTTATCTGTTCAAGTAGCAGAAAAAATTTCTACACCATACAACATAGCAGTATTTCGTAAATAAAAAAACATTTCATAATATCAAAATAAACCAGAATTGTGCACACAATAATCCAGATATTTAAGTAACCTCAAAATCGTGTATTGTCAAACGTCTTACAATATCATATGTTAACAGTCATGATGTATGAATGTCTAGATGTGACGCATTCAATCTGGATAAAGTTTATTCAGGCGGATCTTCATTGTCGCAACATGAAACAAACACAAAATATAAACTAATCATTTTCAAAAATGTCAGTATGACATTTTCTGAGTTAGATACATGATTGATCGATATAATTATACAATGAATCGTTATTAACGCCTTTTACTTTCTGGTATTTTCTGATCAGACGTATCGTGTCTAGGTATTTGTGCATCATGATTGTTGCTCAAAAGTTCTAAAACTGTATATTGTGTATTTTACTTTACAAGTCTCTTTTTTTATCTCTTTAATTGATTTTGACAGATGTTATATTTTAATTGACGTAAATTTTTGCCGCAGATATATGTAATCGCAGAGTTTGCGTTCCTTCAATTACTGGTGAATGTGAAACTTGCACTCTTCTGGGTATCCAGGTTCCAGGATGATTATACGGGACAGTCACCCTCTTATCATTCAAAAAGCAATAATTCAGTTTTTCCATAATTCGTTCGATAAGCGTTGGTATTCTATCAGGACATCGATTTCTTCTTATTGTTAGGTATGACCATATGCTTTCTGACTTCGCCGTTCTTCCCGTGTGAGTTTGAATGTCCGATGTCTGCACAGACGAGTGTACTATGAATGCAGGAATTGAAAGAAACTAAGAAAAATTAACAATAATGCAAATGGGAGGAAATTAATAAAATCATTATTGATTTCTATTTATTATTTAATTTCTATTTTAATAATTATATAAATAACAAAAGTGAATGGAGACCCCCATTAAGCAAAAGATTAGCAATGTCGGTAGATTGATAGCATAATTAATCATATTTGCTGTCAATCTGTCAATATTGCAAATATTTGATTACGTATTACTCACTTGAATTTGTCTTTTCATTTTTAGCTAGCCGCATGTTCGATCTTTCGCTAATTACATGTTGCATTTTATTTTAGGCGGAGTTTTTGACATCTCGCTCTTTAATCCTTTCTTAATTATTTCCTGCGAATTCTTGGCTATGCGGCTTGTGATAACGTTCTTCGCCGGTGTTATTGATGCTTTTGGATTTATTCCGGAAGTTGAGGCCAAAGAATTTTTTTCGTGTAATTTCGCGATATTATTAGAGCTTTTTATCAGATCTTTGAAGATATTCCTTCCCTTCCAGAGCGATGCGCTCGTCAAAGGTCTTCCCGCATTTTTTAAAGTCGCCGTCGAGGATCGATTGCCGCTCGACAATTTGTTGCTAAGGTTCAATTGTGCGGCCGACCTTTGCACTCGCTCGTTTTTGGGAGACGATGTAAAATTCGAAATTACAGGGAACGTGAAAAGGGACGGGAAACGGATCGACGTAGACGAATCGCGGGATAGATCCTGGTGCCTGGCTTGTCTGGATGAATTACTCGTGACTCGTGGTACCAAATGCCGAAGTTCCGTCTGCAGTTTCTCGATCTCGTCGACGCGCACCAGGATATCGTCAATTTTTTCTTCGGCCATTTCGGAGCTTCGATGGTACGAACGTAATTACATCTTAAATGTTATTTTTGTTGAATGTTAATTTTTCTGAAAATTTAGTTGATTGAGTGAACGATCTTCGACGTGAAGATCATTCATGTTTTGACATTAAGCGATGTGACGTTATTCACAAGATGAGGCGCGTTTTTTATTAGTACTGTTTTTATATTAATAGTTAGGAAGTATGATAAACGAAAATGAATTTTATTTTCTATTGTATTAAAAATTAACTATCACACTAACGTTGCTTATTTATTTTTTTTTTAATATTGCAGCAGTAAGCAACAGTGTGTAAGAAAGCAGCTGGATGTAATATGGATATGTATGCTAATAATAACAGACAGGCTTCCAACACATATCATTATTCACCTGAGAACGCAGAGATTAACATCGATAGTATTGCCGTCGCTGTAGCTAAACTGAATTACAAGATTTTGCAATTACGAAAAGAAATTGTCGCATTTAAAAACGAAAACAAATCTCATTTAATTGCGGCGCAAAATACATCAAGGTAATTAATGAAATAAGAAATATCCTCATGTCAATTTGTTTTATGTGAGTATTAAGTAAATTATACAATTCATTGTAAGTATACTAAACATGAATTTAGATTAGATTTGATCTCAATTTCAAACTTGTCAAAGAATCAGGTCAGTTCATAAAATATCATTGACTTTATTGCTGAAATATCCGCTTTTTGTTTTACTTTGTAGAACTTATATTTAAAGTAATCAAATCAATCTTGGGTGGATTGATCCGCACGTATGTTTTCGATTATCTCACGCATGGAAAACACATTTTCATTATTCAGATCGACACCGTCAGGATTTAATGATTCGACGAAAAACGAAGAGAGACGCACGGATGCACGGTATGAACTGCAAAGAAATTTTAAGGGGAACGATTCGCCAGGCGGCACTGATTTATCCGCTCGTTTATCATTCGCGAAACGTGTGCGGGAAGTAAAAGCGGCGAGCGAGGCGGCCGTATTTAAAGAGGATTACCCGCGTGACGATAAATCAATCGAAGATGATGAACGGCCAAATAGATCGCGCGTGTTTGAATTGTCGGGAACGTACCAAAAGTCCATTTCGGATGTTGAAAAATTTGGGAAAGAAGTCGACAAAAGATCAGATAGAGATGTAAGAAACCTTGAAGATGTAAAAACTTCATGTTTCGTCGATGAAAAATTAAGGAAGCCTAACAAATATCAAAACAAAGTTGTCAGTAATATACATCGCAATTCCAGTCCCAGGAATGCTAGTACAAAAATTAAAAAGAAAAGAATTTCAAGAGGCGTACAATATGACATTCCAATTGTGCGTCAAACCCGATTGTGTGTCAGCCAATTTTTTCTGAATTGTTTTAGATTAAAATCAAACGTGAAAAAATGTAATTTGATGCAAAAAATAGAGAAGGAAGAAAGTTCAGATGACAAGGAAAAGTTTGACGTTGGATTACAAAACGATATGAACGAATCACTAGGTACGATAAGATTTAATCACAAATCTCAAGATATAGAAATGGAAGATTTGATGAATAATATAGATATAAAAAAAGAAAAATTTGAGAATGATGAGGACAAAATTACTAATACAAATGATAATGAAAAACAGAAAGAGAATGACAACTTAAAAAATTGCAAGGTAAAAATAAATTTTCTTGAAAAGTTGAGTAAAGTCTTAAATCGTAATAATAATCTAAAAGAGCAACAAGATGAATTGCAAGACGATTTCAATATTGTTGACGATTCTCAAAATAATAAAAAGGAAATTGATAAACCTCGTTTCGAAAACAAAAGGATGAACGATGATCGTAGACGCGAAGAGTTGCGAAGCAGATGGGATGTAAAAATTTTTGATCGTAAAAAAGGTTCGAATAATGCATGTAAAACCGCAACTATGAATTCTGACAAAGAAAGTGACGTAAATAAGGTGAAGAAGAGATTAGATTTATGTATCGTCGAGCTAAACGATATAATCAATGACGCTTGTGTGATATTTGGCAGCGGGAAAAATTCAACGATAATAAGCGACTGAATGTACTGAATCAATAAACACGTCGCGTCGTTTGGTCGGTTAGTGGATCTGTATACTGTGATATTTCTGTGAACATGTCTGTATTATTTCGAGAAAGCTACGGGAATGAGAAAGAGACGGTTTATATAAAATCAGAAGGTAAAATATTTCAAGTATCTTTTAATTAATAAAATTGTCTTCTTATATTAACTAGCCACATGTTAACCCGCATGACACCTGTTGGTTAGATGGGTCTATCATAAACGAGGTGAAATCTGACTCGACCGAGTCGCAGGCCATTTGTTCTCGGATCGTATCCGTCATCAAAGAGATATTCCTGCCGCAAGGATATCCGGATAGCGTGCATCCTGATTACACAGCATATCAGATATGGGACACCGTACAGGTTAGTTTAAATGACCTACAATAGCAAATTACATGATAGATTCAGTTAGGTCTTTAATAATAGAGATAATTATTTCATAAATAAATTTATCAAGTTTTTCTCTCTTCTATTGTTCTGTGGAAAATACTTTATGAAAATTAAATTAATATTTCACAGGCCTCTGCGAGTACTATAATGGGCACGCTTACAACTCATTCTATAATGAAAGGAATAGGAGTTGGAGAGTCGAGTGCTACACCCTTGGCAGCAGCAATAACATGGATTCTGAAAAATGGTACTGGAATGGTCGGAAGTATAATGTTCGCATGGTGGAACGGGTAAAGAATAGACAAGAACTTATAGCTGTTTTTAATGAAGAATATCTATTATATAGTTATATCATTTGTCACTAATATCTGTCACTGTCCTTTTTTTCTGTTACAGAACCCAACTAGATGGACAGTGCAAAAAGTGGAGACTATTTGCTGATATTTTGAATGACATGGCAATGGGGATAGAATTACTCGTTTCATATTTCTCGTCATATTCTGTTGTAATTCTCTGTATTTCAACCATCATGAAATCCATTGTCGGTGTTGCTGGTGGAGCTACGAGAGCTGCATTGACTCAGCATCAGGTAAATGACTATTGTTTTATCATAATTCTTATTTGAGTTTATAATTTTATGTTAAAGTTATTAGCATAAGAATTGTGAAATCATAATTTTCTTATTATAGGCAATACGGAATAATCTGGCAGATGTTTCAGCAAAGGACGGGAGTCAAGAAACATGTGTAAATCTAATTGCATCATTCCTTGGAATCTTTATATTGTCTTTATTCCACGATGGACAGTAAGTATTTAGTATATTCAATGTTTCTTTGTTTTATTATGAATGCTATTAATAATGATGATATACATATAGATACTTAATAGAATTGTATCTCTTCCTGGTGGCAGTCCATCTATATGCGAATTATTCGGCAGTTAAAGCGTTGTGTTTAGATACACTCAATGAAGATCGTCTGGCCTTAATCATTAAGAATTACGTGACGAACGAGCAAATTTCTGAGCCGCAAACAGTCAACGGAGAAGAATCGATATTTCTACTTGGAAATCCTAGTAAGACATTATTATAATTGTCTACTTTCGCTGTATAAAAATTGTCATAAATTGTGCATATTATTTTCAGCCAAAAGTGTATGCGGTTTTGACATCAAAATTGGTGTTTCATTTGCAAGCGTCTTAAAAAGAAACGTAATGTCATCTATGGAAATGGAATTTTTGTTAAAGTTCTTTGAAGATAGAAAATATATAATAACGATAGACAATATAACAAGAAACATATTTATAATTCTTAAAAAGGATGCACAACCTACTGACGTATTAGAAGCGTATTTTTCTGCTTCCATGTGTGGCCTTTATATTTGTATGGCGAGAATGATTCCAGTTGTAAGTAATGAAAGATGTTTTATGTCTCCCATCGTTAATACGCAATTATGATTAAATTTTTATTTTTTTTAGGATTTACTGCTAACATCTGAAACATCGGAACTATCTTATCAATTGTTAAATATATATATTCTTCATAAAAAATTTGCAAATTCCAATAGCAATATACAATTATCAATAGCTATTCAAAGCGTTTGCGCTACAGATTTAATTGTCTCTAATGAATACAAAGCATTTGTTAACAGCTTGGAAATGAATGGTATATAATTGAGTTATTTGCTATTAAAAAGGATATTTGCTTAATTAGATTAAATACAAATATATAACTGTTTATAATTTTAGGATGGAAAACAGAAACAAATCTATTGTCAGTTGGCGCATGGAGATTTTCAATGGGAAACTAATGGATAATGAATTGATGATAACAGAAATGATGAACTGCTCGAAAATTTATACTGATCATTTTAATAAATATTATTCATTAAAATAATATTTCTTCTAATTAGAATCATATTTAATTAGAATCATATAATAATAATAATGACATGACAATAAGAATAGTCACTTGAAGAAGTAGATAAGGAAATGATTTTATTTCCAACAATTTATAAAAATATAATATGCTTTTATACTGTACAAAATGGTATAGCTGACTAAGACTCTTGCTCTGATCTAGGTCCAGTCTGTGATAAATGTTTCACTATATCTACCCAATTCCAACCTCGTGGTCTTTCGCCTTTACCATCTGCTTTGTTCCACTGCCTACGTTTCTGTGCTTTGCTCAAATGTTCCTTCTTCGGTTTCTTTATCGTCTCTTCAACCTTAAAAATATTGTTTATATCAGTTTGCTTATAATTTTTGATAATAGTAAATTTAATATTTTGTGTGATATACCTGTTGATTTTCATCTGTGATCTTCAGTCTACTAGCATGAGAATTTATATCGACAACTGAATCTGGTTGCATAGACACTAAGTCTGTGTAATATTCTCGGACAGACTGAAATAAGGTATACGTCATAGCGCTACCTAACCATTGCTCAGCCTCTGCTTCTATGTGACTCATCACCTTGTCTTTTACTTCTTGTACACTGTATATTCCAATTATTCATCTTTAATCAAAGTAATTGAATGTAAGAATAGTCGAGTGGCTGGTTGGCTGCACTTACATATGTTTATTGTAAAATGTGTTCATATTGATGATCGGTTTTTCCGTAGGATATGTTTCACCCCATGAAATTTCCAATAGAAATGATTTCATACTGTTGTCTTCTCCATACTAAAAAATCATATTATTTTATGATTAGTATATTCAATCTTTGATTGAAGAGGAACAAAGTGAAATTTTAGAATGCTGAAAAATTAGAAAATACAGCTACAAAAAAAAAAGAGTTCTTTACATTCATTCCAAAGAAGTAATCGTTTTAATAAATCACGACAATGTGAGATTATTTCTAAGGATATAAAAATATTTATGAGAAAATTATTTCAGCAAGGAAGCAAATGTGGTCCTTGCACCTTGTACTGAAATGTCGTGGGTGTCAGCTGTTTAAAAGCCGGATCGCCATCGTATATTGAGAATAATACTTCTCTTTCCTCCTCCTGCAGTTCGGCATCACTCATCTCCTTTCGTTAGACTAGATTTTGAATAATTATATTACGTACGAGTACTACTGCGCGATCATATGTGAATTTTTTTAGGTTAAAAGTTGTTATAAATATTTTTTGTAAAGTACAACAGATGGCGCGATCGTTTATATAGTTCCGTGCTTTTTCCTTCAGATGACGCAGCTTATACGATTATTTAGTAAGATGGCTGTTACGTTGTTTCTGTGCGCCAGAACTCTGCTATTATTGAATCTGACAAAACCTTGTACCAATCCGGCTTTCTATTAACAAAGTTTGCAGGTAATTTGCAATCCGTTCTTGACAGGTTTGACTACTTGGTGGTAAAGATGCAATCATGTAATAATGATGAATAGCGTTTGGGCGGTTTCATAATTTATAGTAGCGCTACTTGTTGATTATTTTCATTTAATTAGGGATATTTAATTAATTTGCGATAAAACAATAAACTTTAAATTATAAAAATAATTCAACAAGCAAAATATATTAGCAATGTTGGCAAATTGACAACAAATTTAATCAAATTTGAAGTCGTCACTCTTATTTACTTTTTTAAATTTATTATAACAGAAATTGATTATTCAGAAAGTGCTGCAACAAATCCTACAGTCAAATTTGATCATATTTACTGTCAATCTATCAATATTGTTAACATTTGACTGGGAATATATAACATTTTAAAACTGTTAGGACATTTATTTGCTTTAAAAATGTGATAGTATTTGTAAATGCAAAATGATATGTAAAACAGCGATGCATGAAAATATACAATGACATAAATAAACATAATATTTTTTAACATTTTTAACATAAAGTAAGATATGATTTGTTGAACAATTTTTGAATAATAATCAGTTTCTAGTATAATTAAATACAAAATAAAATAAATAAATGACTCATTATAATATGTATGCAATCTTAGATAAAGAAATGCTTGAAAGAAGGACAATAAAAATAGGTTGTCTTTGGTTACAGAAATCTCGTTCACAAACAATCAATTGATGGATGGCGCGGCGCGACATAAACTACTATTAAAAGGTAAATTATTTTCCTTGAAATTTGATCACGCGGCTTAAGTGAAAAGAACCGTCGAAGTCGTTCTTGAAGTTACCATTAAAGCGCAGATGTACGATCGCTTTTCGCGTTTCCGATGTCCAGTTATGGTCCGGCATCGGTGAATGTGTCGGGTGCATCGGGCAAATAGCCGACCTCTCTCCGTTTGGCCATACGCCATCGCGGTAAATACTGCCATATCATAACGCGAGTCGGAGAAATGAAGCGAAAAGCGGATAGTGCGGGAAACGGGACCAATGAGAGAGGCGGCGGAAAATGGGAAATGCATAATGCCGCGGATTAATGCGAGTTTCCGTTCGATGAGCCCGTCTCGCGTTTCAAATCCTCCGCCATCTCTTCTCCCCTTTTCACCGTTTTGTAGACGTGAATATTGTAGACGGCGATATCAGGCTAATCGCGTAAGAAGTATCTTTTAACACAATGTACTCGACGAGAAAATATTTTGCTACACCGAAAATCATAATGACATCATAATGACACCATTCAGAATATGATAATAATATCTAAAAAAAATATCTTTAGCATGGACGCAAATTTTATGTAATACACTTTTTTTTACACATTACTCTTTTACAAATGCAATTTGTTTAAAACTTTCTTGTTTGTCTTCCATTTCCGTTATGTCGTTCAAAATAAACGACTCACAAAGTTTATAGATAGCACGTAAATTAAACTGTAAATGCACGAGAAGTCCGGAGAGTGGATCGTGTTTCGTGATACGCGGGAGCTCCGGACATGAATATTATTAATAAATAAATATTGTGTGATTGTCAGATTAGACCTCTAGATTTTATAATTCATCGTTTCACATTGTGCATAAATATACACATACATATATCATGATAAAAGCATATGAATTGAATATAAGTATCTGCGAAACACGAAAAAAAGCATAGACGATTTTTTTTTTTAGTTCATATCGCTACGTCAATTTTTCGCCAAGTTACAGTATTTCGAAGATCTGACGCGCGTATATTATTTATGAATAAACTCAGCGCACGTGTGTGCGTGCGTACATGTGACGCGCATACTATTATGTAATCATTACACTATCATGAGCTATTTTAACATCGCTACATGTGCTTCGAGTACGAACGCCACATAGCACGGTAGCTATAAGGATCATTCGTCGGCCAGTTTGATCCTAGTTCGGGATCATTCAGGATTAAAATCAAGTGTCAGATCAATATCCTCGCATAGAAAAATCGCAGCAAATTGAAACAAGTTTTATTTGAAGCTGTTTTAGCATCTCTGATAAGCTCAGAATTATTTGTCTAGGGTGATTAACTCGCGAAGTATCATCAATTAAGTAGAATATTAAAATTAAGCTTTTCGAAAGAGCAATCGCTATCAGCCCGTTGATGAATCCAACGAATATTTTTCCGTAATAATTTTATACATCTCTACGGCACGTATTTTCTAGATGGTAAATATAGAGATTTCTTTTGTACGGAAGAGATTAAAAAATTGTTGAATGAGAGTATAAAAAAGTTCGGCAAATATAATCTCTTAATATTTGAAACAATTTTAGTTAAACTGGGTGGGTGTTTCAATATATTTATTAGTATTATATTGAATATAATAATTATTGGATTAATTACGTATATGAGTAATTTTATGACTTTGTTGTTGTCATCGATATTTGCGAAATCTCCTCCTGCTTTTCTAAAATTACGCGTCACTTTACAAGATTATTATCGTGATGAAGCTGATTGCAAAAATTTAATTGTTATTTACTTCAATGATATATGTTTCAATACAAACATGATTCTTATCTCAGTACTTTGCTTAAACAAAACAGTTTAAAAAAATTTTTATATAAGATAATATATGTATTTATATATATTGTTTTATTAAGATGTTATTTGTTATAATAATTCTATTTATTTTTTCGAATATGAATAATTTAGCTTCTTTAAAATGATAAAATATTTTATTATTACGGACATGCACATTATGTGAGTTGATTGCGTTTTGTCCCTCGACGTTAGAATTTTCAAGGAGTTTGTCCTACATTAGTTCAGAGGTGAATTGTAAGAGAAAAAGAGCTGTAATGTAACTCATCTTTTATTTTGTCTTATTAAATTATTGATAGTTGTTTTATTTAATTAATAATAGCTTTTATCTTTGCGACTGCAAAAACTGTTACATAGATAGCTGATCCGTTTTTCTCTATTACATTTCTTCAGGTATTTGTTAAATAATAATTAAACATTAGTGAACTTATTTATAAGTTCGCTTTGACAGCGGAGAAATTTGAAATAATTATTACAAATAAATCATTAACAATCCTGGCCACTGCAATGGAACGTTTGCAATAGTTTGCAAAGGGTTTATATTGGAAATGGCTCGATTAAAATCGCTTTATTCGACCATGATTCAAATACCAAAGTGCTATTTACTGGATTTGTTAAACAACGTTTGCCGAGTACCGTAATTTTAACATTTCCGATGAAATTTCGTTTCGGAGAAAAGTATATATATACAACTGTAAGTAGAAAATTGTAATGAACGAATAAAATTAGATTTTCAAAAATGATAGATCTAGATAGGACAGCAACACGGATAGATTTGTGCTTTATGTGATTTTATATATTTAAACTAAATCCGCGGAATTTATGCTTTATTTGATTATAGATCCATTAGCAATGCGGACGAATTGCATTTATCGAAGCATCCAATTACAATTCTCAATGGTGCTTTTCGCCATCGATCGCTTTAATTGAATTATTCGCAATTGTATTATTATATACGGAGCACAAAATTATAACATATATAAGTATAATTTGCTATTATTATATTATCGGAACGTTAATTCATATAATATATCATTGAAGTATTTTAATGCAATGCAACAAGCTCAAAAGCCGCTTGCCATATTCCAGCTTCACAAAGCGAGTGCGATCCTAATGAAATGTGCGAGTAATTATGAGGTAATTAATAATTATGTCGACTAGCTGTCAATATTTATGAACACAGGCGCGTTTCAGAAGTTTATTCTACCCCACGTTGACGTGTTTTCTCTTGCAGCTTCATTTTGACGAGCGAAACAATGCTGACGTGTGCGGTATCAAAATGTCTATTACATTCACTACACTAGAAATCCATTATAGAAAACTAGTATGGATAGTAAAATTGATTAGGGGCAAGTTTAATATATCATCTACTTTCTCCTGTCGCCATTTCTACTTGCTTTGCCCTCAATTGTCAAATTACAATTACAAGTATTATAAACAAAAATTTTTTCCAACTTGTCATCTTTTAATTAATGAGAAACATTAATAGTTATAATACACACCACATATTTTATATTGAGAATTCCATTCTCTTTCCAATAGAATATTCTATTTCTTCACTCTCGTTTTCAATGACGAGAGTATTCTTTTCGTTGATACTATAAATTTCTTATCTAATTGAAGATTAAAATTCAGCCCCTTAAGACGTTTCACATGAAAAATTTCGAGAGATCGGTCTTAACGGACGCTCACACATCTAATTTTTTTTCATCTCGCGATTATCCTTCGCTGCGCTTCTTGTTCGACTACTTTCCGTTCCACTTCCGCATAAAAATAGCGATCTCCCGATCGACCGAGCGTCGATCATCATCGGCGCGACTCCGGTTTCCCATCGGCATCCATTTATACCGAGTTCGTTCGAGTCGGGCGCGCATCTGAAAGGACGGACTGCCCCGGCGCCGTATCGTCGCGAGCGCATCGATCAGAAAGAATATCGCCGTGTGCTGCCAGTGATTCAGAGTAGCACCACTTCCCCGGTAAGTGCCGGGGCTTAAAGCTCGCCACACACCGACGAGACTTTACGATACGGGCGCGCAAGATAAGCGGGATATCGCATAGGCGGTCCCCGTCGGACATTCGTATTTATAGCGAGAGTTCGAATTTTCGGATATTTACGTTCGCCCAAATTTGCGAGATAGACCGCGAATTTAATTTGCATCGAGGAAGGATGTGTTCTTGCATTGTTGGAGGCCGCCCGCGTGCCTTTGTGTCTTCCACTTTAA